CTTTTGTGTAACCGTAGATCAAAGTCTCCTCTTTGTTTTCATTTCATTTTTCATTTTTATCTTTCAGTAGTGCAATCATAATGAACTTTTCCGTGGGTTTCTGGTTTCCCTTAATACAAAGGATACAGAATGATTCCGCTACATGACGAGCCGTTTGTTTCATGGAAATCAACATGGATTTTACGGTTCGCAAGAAGCTAAGAAAGTGCAGACGAGGTGTTCTTAAGTTAGAGAATCGCCAGATTCAGACTCCTGGCTGTTCATTGTACACAAGAGGAGGAGCAGTTCCCCATCTCACTCGGGATCTATTGCATACAGTTGCAGATTTACCAGCAATTGTTCATCTGACTCTTGAATCCACGTGAGTTTGTTCTGTTCATATTAAACCGTTATGGCCGAGGCCAAGATCGCTGAATTACAGTAAACGATTATTAATTGTAAGAGCACAATAAGCGTATTTAAAATCCTTACTAAAGTATCTTAGGAGTACACCGTGTTAGGTCAGATAGGTCTAACGCTTGCGGTTTTACTTGTAGTGAAATTTTATTAAGCTGTGCACGAAAGCTTATTATTAGCTCATAAGTTTACTATATCAAAATTCTCAAATCTGATTGGCTATCAGCTGTCCTGATTTCAGTATTAATAGGACAGTGGGTAAGATTTCTGTATAACCCAATAAATTTATTATGCCTGCAGCAATTTCCCCCTTATCTACAAATACAGTGAAACCTAGTGTATTAAGCGGACACCCTCGGGGAAAGCTGCAGTGTCCGCTTAATACAGGGTGTCTGCCTAAAAAAGGTTTCAATAGATAACGACATATGAGGTATCAAATGCCATTCAAATAAACAGTGGAAACGTTTAGTATACTCGCAGAGACTATGACGATATACCTTTGCATGAATTTCTTTACAACTCAAATTTGAAGAAATCAGATGAGTGAAAAAAGCTCTATACAAACAAAACGAAATAGAAAACAATACTGTACTGGGAAACTAATCAAATTAAGTTCTTCAAGTCATGTTTTTTAATGTAAAAATCGAAAAATTTGTGGGTGACAATTCGAGACAATCTTTAGCATTTCCGGTGTCTGGCATGTTGGGTGGTGGAATTTAATTACAAGTGTCCGCTTAATACAGGTTGGCAACAACAGAAATGATCACTTTAGGTACTTTTTAGGTGTCCGCGTCCACTTAATAAAGGTTTCATGTAAAGTAAATAAGGGAAATAGATTTGGGGACTTCGGCTACTGTCCGCTTAATAGAGGGTGTCCGCTTAATACGGTGTCCGCTTAATACAGGTTTCACTGTAGTTACCCCCGCAGGGATTTCTAGGAAATCCCGAGGATGCACTCTAGTAACTTGCGCATATACTAAGGACAGTACTTACAGTTGAAATATACAGTCAGTATGCTAGAAAAAATCTTGATTTGCTTGAACAGGGGCTGCGAGGAATCGGTAGGTAATGATGACGTTTCTATTGTTTGCACCCGCAAGAACGAAATGGTTAGGGTGACATAAAGACAGAAAATCCCGAAGGGACCGCTTAGGTAGATTTTGTGACATTTATTGTGCAGTCATACTGCGATACTATGAACTGCATGTAAAAAGTGAAAGAGAAATAGCGAAAAATTCAACTTCTTCGTATGGTTTAAAATAAACTATTCTCGAAACTGAGAATGTTTTGATCAAAGCTGTGTAAATCGAACTGAAATTGTGCATGGAACCTAGCGTTTCCTGTATTTAGCTCACCTATTGTACATGTGTATGGAATATGTGTGAAAATCTTGATTATAAATTGGTATATTTCAAAGAGCTACACAACGAGCAAGCAGAACACTACTGACCGACAATATACAGAGCGGGGGCAAATGTAGTGTCAACTATTACTAGTTTACTACATCATCGAGTCGAAATGAGTATGCATAATAAATGTATGGGGTTATTAGGAAATCTGAAACTTGTGTCTTGGTATAAGAGAACTTAATGTCATCCAGTTTGGTCAGTAATCATACTTGTGATTAAACAAATCAGACTCCCGCTGTGCAGTCGTCCAATTTTGTTAATAACTCGTATTCATGATTTCAAACTGGTCAGTGTAAAACGCAGACTGCGGCCTGTTGTTTTTCCCATGGAAATAGGGACCTTAAGCATTGACAACGAAATGCACGACGATGATGCTTCGCAACCAAGGCAGACTGGGCCAAGGGTTTCATTTTCAGTGGCGAAAACGAAGTTTAAGCAGTGCAGTTTCCCAGACAGACGGCGACTTTTTTTTTGCAAAGAAGTTTGTCTTGTTACAGTCTTGTTATGGCATTCAAAGACCTCCGTAATTTACATCTTATAAGCTATGACAATGTTTAATCAATGGTGGCAAATTGATTGCTCTTTATGACCTGTAATTTGATTGTGGAGGCTTTCTCTTTGTCGCGCAGCTTTTGTTTTTGTTTTGAAGTTAAAAGTGAATACTGAAACAAACCGAACCTGAAAAAAAAATTCGAGTTAGCAAGCGAAGAAATCAACAAAATGCTTAACATTTGGATTCTACATGTACTGAATGACAAGGTGGAAAAAGAGTGATTTACACACAAAAGGCATATTTTATAATAACGTTTTAGCGACTACTGCAAAACTCCGTGAATTTCATCGTCGACGAAGGCTGGATGACGTTTTGACAACCCGATGCATGCCCGGAAGGTTCGCGCAGGAAAATTTCACTTCCAGTCGGCATCGTCGTCCCATTTCGTTGTTGATGCTTAAGGTCCCTAATGAGAATGTGACAATAATAGTCTCATAGTTTTCTAACCCTAAAAACAATAGTCCACAGTCTGCATTTTACACTGCCTTGATTTCTAACTGAATTGGACTCCACCAAGTCCTATTAGTATATTAAATTATGGCTCAGTCAATTCCAAGCGTGCCCATCCCCCCCTCCTGGGCATTTGTCATCTTGTCAGTCCCGCCGGTGGGGAATTTGTAAATTCTAACGGCTAGGAGCAATTTGCGAAAGGTGCTTTATACTATTAAGAATCTATCTTTAATGCAATCCGAACGAAGGTTACAACTAGAACTGAACAACATAAGCTACAAGACGAGAGAATAAATGATAAGATTATGCAATCGAGGAGCACGTGTAATCCCCTAGAGAGTGTCATATGATCTTAATCAATGAATCACATTACATGATTATTATTTCTCCAACATATACCACGTTTTGATCAGATTATTACAGATTTCCTATAAATACGGCATTTGCAGCTTATTTACTGGAAAGTGCAATTTTGGTGTTGTCTAGAGCATTGCCTCCATTTGTTAGGCCCCTCCGTAAAGTTTTTCTTTGAACTATTCGGCCCTATTGTGGGGCATATACGGCTTTTCCAGAAAAATGACAACTGCCTTGGGGGCAGGGGGGGATGGGCATGCCTGGAGTTGACTGAGCCATTATCTCAAGATTAATAGTTGTGCACATGTAAACTTAATGATATCAGGTTTAGCATTTATTTTTATTCAATGTCTGGTTATTGTATTTAACAGAGTTGATCAGCCAGGAGCTGAGACTATTACAAAATGTAGCTGCAATGGAATAACAGAATTCTTAGGACTTGAGGTGAAGACTGATATGTGGCTAGCCAGAGTAAAGTACAGTAAACAATAATGAATTATTATATTAGCCTACCTACATGTAGCCAACCCATAAATATGGCCAAATTCGTGTTGCAGATTAGCTAGCATGAACAGGGTTCCACAGTACTTTTCGTAAAGATGTTTGCTTTTAGGACCCTCCTTTCAGTTCTTAGACCTCTCATAAGGTGGGTAACCTGGTGAGAAACCTGTACCTGCCAATTCTTATTCATTATATGTGAGTCTCATGCCTGGGGACTGATCACATTGATCTCACTCATCAAGGACAATTTTTCTCATGCCTGATTCACAAATCCAGACAAATAATTCTTTTACACATGATTACCGGTAATAACAACAATTTAATTCTATTTTCATGAAAATATTCCAGAAAGGAATTTGAATGATGACTTTGTGTCCTAAGGAAATCAAAACATTAAAATTGTCATCTTTTAAATAGGTTTGGAAGTGTTCAAAGTTTGTCAGAACATCTTCGGACATTAATTTTTTTGGCAACATTCAGACATCTTTGTAAAATCGTCGGAAATCTTTGGAAGTCGCCGGGATGTTTTCAGAAATTCTGCTCATGACAAGGCAAAAATCTTGCACATTCGACTCAGAAAAAGTTGGCAGGGATAGAAACCTGTTTAGGATCCTGCAGGATCCTGCTTAGGAACAGGGGCCTGAACCTGATCCTTTTCAGGATTGGGACATTGATTAGGATCCTAATGCTCAGCAAGATCTCTGTATATAAGCTTAATCATAGAGATGGTATACGAGGGGATCTTTTTAATATTATTTTGTGAATGGAATAATATTACTTCCTTTTTATCCCAGGAATATGTTTCTTACCTATCAATTAAAGATNATTGAATGATGACTTTGTGTCCTAAGGAAATCAAAACATTAAAATTGTCATCTTTTAAATAGGTTTGGAAGTGTTCAAAGTTTGTCAGAACATCTTCGGACATTAATTTTTTTGGCAACATTCAGACATCTTTGTAAAATCGTCGGAAATCTTTGGAAGTCGCCGGGATGTTTTCAGAAATTCTGCTCATGACAAGGCAAAAATCTTGCACATTCGACTCAGAAAAAGTTGGCAGGGATAGAAACCTGTTTAGGATCCTGCAGGATCCTGCTTAGGAACAGGGGCCTGAACCTGATCCTTTTCAGGATTGGGACATTGATTAGGATCCTAATGCTCAGCAAGATCTCTGTATATAAGCTTAATCATAGAGATGGTATACGAGGGGATCTTTTTAATATTATTTTGTGAATGGAATAATATTACTTCCTTTTTATCCCAGGAATATGTTTCTTACCTATCAATTAAAGATCCCTTTCAAGATATACGTGAAGGATACAATGAAGAAAAGTGTGTTTCTGTGTGGACTCCTGGTGGTCGTAAAAAGGTACTTGCTACGTAGTTACATGGAATAAACATTGTGTAAAGGTGGTGCCCTGAAATATATCATTAAACAGGATGTAGCAAAATATGTTGCAGGAACTACCCTAGTCTTTTGATTGGTTATAGGAGATAATCAATAGTTAAAAGTATTATTTTAAAGCACCCTGCTGTACAACAACACAACTGATGGAATAGTAAAATTTCCATGAAACCCCTTAGGATCATAAAATTATTTTCTAGGATGTCCCATTGTCAGGTTTTCTGCATCTTTGGTGGCATTGGGTGGCACCTTATCTTTATATGTAAATAGTCAATATTAACAAACATGTTTATGCAAACTGTAGAAAGAGAAAATAAGGCGACAGCTACTTTTTTGATTTCTTACCACAGAGATGTTCATTGTGCCAGGAAGATGAAATGCGTGAAAATCTGATAATTTTTTTTAAAACTATTATTTATTGCATTAAAATTTATTATGTAAGATCTCTCAGATTTTTCTGGTGTAATGGGGTTTTTCATTGCCAGGTAGATGTCAACCTTTTCCTGACTTTTCTCCAAACATTCAAGCCTAATATAGCTGAATGTCTCTGTGATACCATTCCAGCCTCCAAGCAGACTGACAAGAGAATTCGCAAATCTGTTGATCGAACATTAAAGTTTCTTGATAAATGTATTGAAGAAATGGAGAGTAAGGTAAATAGTACAGTGTTTAGGTGAATTTTTTTTTTTAACATCTACCAGTGATTTAAATAAAGTATCAATAAATAAACTGTGAAAGGTTTAAACCCAGGAGTCATTTCTTAAGTAGGATGAGTATAATCATCCAGGTAAACGTAGTCTGAAATAGGACTGTTGTTGTTGACAGTGACTACAACAGTCCTATTGAGGACTACACTCACCTAGACGATCATACTCAACCTATTTACATGTATGAAATAAATAAACTATGGAGATGTATTCAGGTCAAAATAGAGAAGTACAATTTTAATTGTGTGTCGCAGACAAAAAGTATTCCATATTGAATTCATTTTTTTTACCTGTGACAAAATACATGTACATCATGTCCAGTCGGAAGCCTTACTTGACAATTTTCACAATTGAAGAAAAAAGTTGAAAAAAGGGTGATTTTTAATATAATTTATTGTGTGACTGGAAAGTGTTTCAATAACAACTTATTGTGGTATTTCACCATGACTTGTTAATTACAGTACATTTAAGTGGTCTCCATGCATGAGAAATGAAAACATTTTGGGTTGTTCAGTGAAGTCAGTTTTATTGTTGTAATTTGGTGCCTCAAAGTAAAAAATAATTTTGTTTGCAATTTAATTTTGGCTAACTTATTTTATTTTATTTTCACTTTTAGAGTTTATCTTCTTGTAACTTATTTGGAGTTATTGAGGGCTCAAACTCAGAAAAAGAGCGAATACGATCAGCTTCAGAAACTTCAAAAAGATCTGTAGCAGGTAAAAAGTATAAGAAGACTTTTCTTTAATCTATAATTGACTCTCAATAACTGTCAAACCTTCAATGGAAATTGAAAACAGTTTCAGTTATCAGGAGCTCAAAGCAAATAGCCAGAAAGAGGAAAATGGGATGAGGGAGGATATATAGATGAGGAGATATATTGATTTTTTTTAAAAAAGAAATTAACCAACAAAACTTGATTAATCAGTACAGTGCGAAACAATGTGTTTAAATTGGACGGTTGTTTTTAGAGAAATTCAATATTTTGGACTACAATTCACTGCATTTTTTTCAATTTGTCATGCACTTAAAACTTGGTTTGAGTTATCTAGGGTAAAATGGTATGGAAATGATCTGAAGGGAAACAAAAATACTTAGAGTTAGCGGGAGGTTCGAGTTATCCAGGGTTCAAGTTACTGAGGGTAAAATTACAGTAGATGTATGAAGCAAATCCAGTGGAAATCGATTTTGGTTCGAGTTAGCATGAGTTTCGAGTTAGTAAGGGTTTGAGTTATCTGGACACTTTTCATAGTAATATTATTATGACTTGTTTAGTTTTGTCTTCATCTCCCATCAAGCTCATTTAACTAAATTTGTCATCAGATGGGTTGTGAGGGAATCCTTGTAGTGTACTCCTGCTGCTCTTTTTTTCTTTCAGAGTACTCGTAATTTTATCATTGTCATCACAATCATCATTATCATAAGCAATAACACCATCAAACATCATCATCATCAACATCATCAATTAAATTGTAGAATTTTTTTTCTCTTTTTACCCCTACATATTATTGGTTAGGCTTTGTTCTGGAGGGTTTTAGTTCAAGTGAATGTGAATGGAACCACCTGCTGCAGAGGACAGTGGTAGGTATACATGTACTCCGAAACAAGTGAATTTTGCAGAGGCCTTGATTTTATACTGCTAGGATGAAATGTTTGGCTAAAAAAATCTGTTGAGCATTAAAATATGTTTTCACTAAAATTTCAAATTATCATACACTGTGCAGGGAAATGTTTCCTCTTTAAGTTTTACCTTTAATCGTCTACCCTGCAAGCAGAGGTTTCTCTCGTACATGTCTTTTTAGTGTTTTAGTTGTTCGCATCACTTGTCAGTCACGAAGTTGGTTTGTTTTATATGCCCCAGGAGAAACTGGTGCTCGTGTTGTTGCAAGCAAAAGAAAGTGACTTTTTGGGTGGAAAAGGTCCCTTTATAGAGAGAAAAAAGGAATGCACTGTTAGAGAAAGTAACCAATTAGAAGTGTAGGATTTTGATCAGTTACACTTGAATTTGCATGTTCTTTCATTAATGGTAAGCAATTGATATGAACTGAATGCATTGAAATCTGGGGGTAGGATGTTTGTTAAAACTTCATGATGGTTCTTAGCAAGTAAAGCCTTTAAAAAATGCATCTGAAAAATCAACAATACAGGCGAGTCTAATTTTGATTTTAGCACAAATCGTGATGACTCAGTTATTAAAGTGATTTGACCTTCACATTTCTTTAACAGGAAAAACTTCCTGATAATAAACCCCGCCTTATACATGGATTAGGATCTCCAGGTGAATTAATGAACCAGTTCCAGAAACAAAGCTAATACTTTTTGTCTTGTGATTCAAATTTATTCTTGGTTTAGAATAATGTTATCTTCCTGTTGTTTCTGGATATGGTAATATCTGATAATGAGATTGATACAATGAAATTTAATTTTTAATTTATGGATAAAATTGAATGACAGTGTATGTAGGCAGGGTTTAAGTAATGCTGCCTTTGAACAAAGTAAGATGGTGGATAGAAAAAGGAGAACAAATTACAAGCAACTTACCTAATAATTATAACTGCTTTAAAAATCAGCCTGATCAATCATTTTACTGCTCACTGTGTATGTACATGTAATGTGAAACTGTTCCCGCACATTTCACAAGCACCTGTGCTAAAACATGAAAATGAGGCTCAGGTGGACAAAAATCAAGCATGCATAAGTGACCACCCATTGGCTTCTTTGCATGACGGAAAGTATAATATCGTAATCTATTCCCCGCGGACGCTCCTTTAACAAAGGCTTGGTGACTCAAGAGATGAGTTAAAGGACATGTGAGTTTGCAGGCGAGAAGGTGATAGGGCTAGACCAAGATAAGCGAAATAATTGAGAGGACGGAAAAAAAAAACAAACCCATTAAGAAAAAACAGGTGTCGAACCACCCCACCCTTCTCCCCCACAAGGGGCTTTAACATTGCATTAATCCAATTTCCTCCAGCCCTTGAAGCCAAACTGAACAAACTTGCTTTACACATGTTTAATTTACTTAAACACAGGAAGCCACTCCTGGAGGAGAAACCTAAGAGTTTTTAGCTTTCTGTAAATTGAAAATACGCTAAGAAATGTAAAAAGAAAGGGATTTAAATGATAGAAAAAAAGTAAGAGAGAAAAAATTCGACCACGACGGGAGTCGAACCCGCAATCTTCCGATCTAACTTTGTGACTTCGACTCCACATAATGGAGAAACACGCGCGATATGCTCGCGCGGGGTGAAAGGCGAGGATGAACGTGATCGTTTATTATGCTGGAAATCATCAAAGACATCAAATGATTCAACATGGAGTATTCATGATTGTAAAAAGTCCATCATTCACTAAATGGTTGATGTTTTTCATCTTTGCGAAGTTTTCCTGTAAGATAATAGAAGATATACGCCATAAGAAAGATTGCAGCAAGTTTATGCTACGTACGCCAGAACGAGAAATTGCGCCACTATGGCTTAAAGCGCAGATTTATTGTGCATGCTTTCTAGGTTAAAGTAACAATAATACAAAAATGTGACGAAAATCAACGGAGCCCAAGAAACGAACGTTTTCGTATTTGAGACTGAGGTGAAAATGAAAACAGCCACAGATATAAAAAAAAGAAATCAAATCTTAACATGCAAACCGTAAGCGTGACTGCGTAAGCTTATTCTCCGTTGGTTGTTGTGGAGTGTTTGCCATGACCTGGATTGTGCAAAGTTGACATTGAACCCGAAAAAACCATTGTCAAGAAAGAAAAACTTAAAAGCAATCAAAAAACTATATCTCACAGTGCAAGACAAAAAATCTGAACGCATCGCCGATGCCGAGAAAAGATGTTGTCACGTCGATCAGCCGTAGGTACGCGTCGCGCACCTGGTAAAGCCAAGGCAATGCTAACAGCTCAAGCTAGTGAAAAAAATGACTTAGAGCGATAAAAAGTGAAAATACTTGTGATGAGCTTTGGAAAGTTTCCCGTTAACGGAACTCTAAACGATTAGGCCCACCAACCGCGAAATCGTTACTGGGCATATTCCTCGAGGAGAAATGCATATGTCGGACCACAGTCCACACGAAGAAATGGCTTTGCACATGTTGTGGTTCAATTTTTTTAAATTTAAATTGTCCTTTTTTGTTTCAAAATCATTATCATACATTACTATACCCAAAAAGAAAATAAAATAAAATTTAATTAGACCAAGGATAAAACTAAAGAACAACGTACACAAGCAATGATGCAAGGTTAAGCTTGATGAAAATTAGAAACAGGCTGTCAATCCTTGCACTTTCCACAGCGTTAAAATTGTAACGGGAAGGTTGGATAATTTGTAGTCGTTATTTTTTGTATGGTATTGTTGGTCGTTATAGCAAAACAGCTAGGATAAACCTATCGTACTAACCTGTTGTTTTTCTTTCTCACCCGATAGCAATCCTCAACGCTTAATCCATTTCGTATTCCAAGGTATGGGCTCCTGATCGAAGTTGAAGTCGGACCTCAAAATAGTGGAGGAGTCAAGAGCAGATTTATAAACCTTTTTCAACTCTTTATCGCCATCAATGCGAAGTATAACCTTCTGGCTCAAAGGCCTGCCTACTTGTCGATACTCAGGCGAAACGCCGCATTCCCGCCAAGTATAACATGTCAATCACACGAAGCTTTTTCCACCAATAGTAAATTGTTCTGAAACTGTCATTTACTGCAAGACAGAACTTTTGATCGGTCGTGAAAGAAATTTGGTAGCTTTGTCCCCGTCCTCTTTTTTTATTCATTTCAGGAGAATAGAGAGCTGGTCGAAATTGTTAGTTTTGGTATATTGAGTGAACCTGTCCTGGTAATTATTTCAGTCATGGACTCAAAGTGTTGAGGAGAAGATTGTGTAAGACAGAGTCGAAGGATGTCAGCTTTCATATAGCAACGAACAAGCTAGCTTCTATCAGGTAAGAGTTACCCACATTGATAGAAAGTTCAAACCGTGTTAGCGTGCAGGTAAATTCTCGTTTTTAGTGATTCAACAGTTGCCTGTTAACACCATTTGATAAATCCATACATTTTTATGTGTGGTTGACGTACCCTACTCTATTTAATTCCAATGTTTTTAAATGGTAGTCTAGTATTGGCCATGTCACTCTGCGCGTTCGTAAATGGTTCTCCTGACGTTAATGTCTTATCGTTTTTCCCTCAAACAAAATTTGGGTTCAGGTTATCTACTTACTCGAATTGGTATGCAGATCAAATGGTGTCACGTTTGATTGATCTACCTAGCAGATTCATCATTGCTAAGTATAATTCTCTCCCTTTTTCAATAACACAGTTTGTTTTGATAGGAACCTGTACCCTTTCCAAATGTAAAATTTTCTTAATGGGGCAGTGTCATTGCAATACAGTTCATTTTGTTTAATTTCGCCAATTACTTGCCCTCAATCGCCATGGAACTTAAAGTAGGCAAAGAAATTACATGTAAATGACAAAATCAGAGATCCGAGAGAAACCAATCTGTCTCCTGAGTATTATTTAGCAGGGATCAATTTTGAAAGACTGTTAGGCGGAACAGTTTTCAAAAACTCTAATTTCAGTCCGTTTCAATCTTATTCAGTTTTGCCCATCCGTGGCATCTGTTCTTTCTGTTGTGTTTTTTTAACCTTCCTTTAATGTTTTAAGCGGTTATTTTTATGTTTCTGCTAATTTAACGGGCATTTTGTAATTTCCTAATTTGGCTGAAGTGCATGACACAGCTCCTTTAATAGTCCTACTAACCATAAGAACAGCATTATGTACATAACAAAGCGGCAAGGGTTGTATCAAAACAAGGTCAACTCCAGCCCCGTTTCCACATGTAAGTGTAAAATCTGCTTTTGTAAAGCCACCATCATAGTCAGAAAATACCTTATATTGTAAGGGCCCAGTTGTCAGAAGACTGATTAGCGCTCACCCGGCGTTAAATTTAACGCAGGTTTCTTTTTTTTTTTCAAAAGCATTTTCTCGGATGTTAAAGACTATTAAATCATCAACCTATTGACAAAAATTATGAAAGTGAATTTACTTTTTAAGCTTTCATATCTGAATTCAAATTTCACACTGACCCTGGGTTATCTTAACACCACTTTGAACAACCTGGCCCAGGTTACAATTAGGCTCAGAAATTGGACAATTCCCTTCAAATTGTCAAGATTACTTGTCACTCACGACGGAGGAAAGTTGTCCTGGTTACCCGCCGGTAGACCAGTTATCCTCGGCATTGGGAAAATCAATAATTTGGAACAGAGTTTGTCCTCATTTGACCAAAAGAATGAGTTTGGATAGTGATGCTAAGTTTCAAGGAATATAAAGTCAATGATGTTTTATTCTGCCAACCTTGCCATATTCTTAAAGACTCCATCGCCTAAGAAAGGGTCAGCTTGTCTGACAGGTTATAAAAACAACAAGTATGTTCTGAACATAACACTCTGTATTTTTGCTTTTATGCGAAGGTATTTATATATTATGAAACACATATGTTGCATAAATGAAAGAGAAAGAGTGACTTCCCCTCTAATGGCAACTGTTACAGTTGCCTCAACAATAAGGAAAAACTTTTCGCATGCCCCCTTTTGGCCCTGTATGATCTGTTATTTTTCCATAGAAATTGGTTTACTTGCACATACATTGGTGACTAGAAATAAGGTCTCCTTTTGGCAACTCCTTCCAGCATAAATCCTCATCTTTACAATTTAATAGAAAAAAGCACGAAATAGTACTCTTAAAAACATGTTTAAAAAGCGACTTTCACTGCACTTTCATTTGATAGCTCAAGGTAGTTGAAGAGAGATAAATCCCTAGCTGTCTCACTTGTGCTGTATGTGAAATACAACTGCTTGTCACGTCATCACATTTTCTGGCAGCCAGTCGGGCCTGATTCCCTATTGTGACATGAACTAAAGTAACAATATTATTCATATTCATTTCGGGGTATTAAAGTGATGATTTACAACGGCTACTACTATGTAGATCCTTCTCATCCACAAAACATAGTGACACTATGCGATTTGTGGTGAACCAATCCAAAACTATTAGTTAAGTAATGTACCAGGTAGGTATAGAGCATTTTCCCTAACATGGCCAGCATCTATTTAAATTTATTGGAACAAAAGAAAGCATTTAAATAGGACTAGAGTTCAGCTCCCACAAAATTGGTACGGGACACCAACATGGCCACCGATAGAATGTTTTGGGCCTCCTTTATGGCCACACTGACGTCGTGTGAAAATGCTCTGTACCACCACGTAGGTATACTATGCAAGTGGTGACATTGGCCTTTACCTTCCATTAATTTGGCTCTCCTTTAAATAGTTGTTGGGGGCTGCATTTACCGGACATACAGTACTGGCTCCTTGAAGGGCCTTCACAGACTGTCCAACCTTTTGAGTATGTAATTTTTTTCAACCACACTATCATTGATGCTAATGCTGAAGACACCAGCCACTAGGGGCTTCTACAGGCATTCTCGTTCAGAAAATTTTGAAATCTTGATGTTCAAAAATGCCATTTCAAGTGTTATGAGAGGACAATATCCGACTAAAATGTTTGCTAAATTGTTGGTTATTTTTACGCTTACTTTTATCGGTGTGATTTCACGGACAAGTACTCAACCTTTTTTGTAATCCATGCGGTTTTTTAATAATTTTATGAATACCAGGTTCAGTTAAGTATACTATGTTAGAAGCTCCTGTATATGTATGATAAGAAGTCTTTTTATCCTGTCCTGACGGCATATCCACCAGGATGAGGGGTAATGAAACAAAATGAGGAGAATCCTTATGAGTTCAAGATGGTTGAACAGTCTACCCTCATTATACTTTTTATGTTAATTATTATGCCTTTTTTAATTTGTTTGGTGTCACGGTAAGGACACGTAATGAACATAACCGTTATCGGCATGCACAAAAATGTGACCGTTCAAACAAGCTGCTGCTTTTATTGTGATTGGTATTCACTGTAAGGGCTCTCAAAAACCCAGAATCGTGAATGGGACTTTCTAGCAAATGTTTTAAGGTGAAATCCATTAGGAAATTGAGGAATTTTAATTCTCAGTGAACAAAAACCTACCAGAATACTACATTCTTTTTCTCGCCTTTCAAGAGCTATAAAAGTTAATGTAATAAGGTATAGTAAATAACTCAGAAGAAATGGTTATAATCTGATACAGAGAAAACGAACTTCAGAAGTCTTAAATATCGAAAAATGAAATCTTGTGCAGGGCACTTTTACCTGTGTTCCTCAAATCCTCTGAAATTTAAAAGTTATTTTCTAGGGTGCCCACAAGTAATTGGCTTTGGTGGTATTACAGATAACTAATTACATCTAGAGCCCTTGAAAAGTGTAAAAGAGAATGGTATCATTGCACAAGGGTCTTGTCTGTACACTGAAAATTTAATTCACTCAATTATTTACTGCTCATGCCTCCACTTTTTTATTTCTAGGTGGTCACTTAAACCATGAACATTTGTCCTGTGCCGCTTGAGATGCCCTGTCTGATTTGTCTTGTAGTGGCACCTGTCACAATGAAACCTTTTTGGTAAGTGGCACTTGTTTATGTGTGCCCTGAGGCAATCCAACGAATGGAAGCTTTTCTGGTCAGCTACAAGTAAAAGAAGAAAAGGAATAACAATTTATTTGACGAGTGGCAAAATTAATGCCGACTGGACTTAACCATATTTCCTTGAATAATAGCTGTCCCTCAATTAATAACCTCCCTCGATAAATAGCCCCCTTAAGAAGGTAGTACTTAACATAATCACATTCATGCCGTCATCTAACCCCCCCCACCACTCCAACTCTTGCCCCGTTCACACCACCCTTACTACTCTTTGCTGCTTAATGTCCGCATCCGTATGTTACATCCTTCTTCTCTTTCACTTATCCCCTCTCTGCTAGGTTAGTCAATAATTAAAAGATATGATATTAAAGATATGCCAGTATAATAGGGATATTTTTGAGCCCTATTCATAATACATTGTATGAGATAAAATAACACCCAGATTGCATTGCAATTTCTGAAACATGTGTACCTCTACAAATCCAGTTCTTGTCATTTCCAACTTTCTGTTTGGAATGCTGGATGAGTGTGACATGATTGTCACACTCATCAGCACTGGCGAAGGTGCTCTCACATCCCCTGAAGGGGCAGTTAAACTGTTCTGGATAACTGTCTCCTTCAGGGGGAATCCACCTAGATCTGGTGTCCAGGTGGACAGGCAGGCTCTCTCCTTCCCAAGTTGTGAGTACATCTATTACATCAATGCGTCTGGTTGTTTCCTGTAATTGAATTACATGTAATTGATCGGAAAAAGAACTGAACTGACTCATGCAATGATCTAATTTGTAATTTAATAATGTGATAGAAGCATATCAGTAACTCAAACTGAAGCTGTTACTTGTATCATTATATTTCAATGGAAATGTTGTTCCTATACATTTTGTGAGCTGACTTTAATAATATTATCCTAATTAAGTTACCGGTTTGGGAGGAGTGGGAGGCAGTTCCAGGCGCTTCTCATGTTGTTCCATATTCTTTTTTTTGCAGAATTCTCGGACTGCATTTCTTTTCACGCTTGCAATTTTCTTCACATCAGAAGGATTTTCATCTGTTGTAAAAATGGACTTGTTATTGTTGTAATACATTATAATCATTTATTATTCATTCAAAGTATTTCCCCAATTCTGATTGTCTAAAAGCACACACATAATTCACCATAACCAGTTACTGATGACCAAATTTGGAAGAATTTTGTGTTTAACGAAGAATTGACATAAAAAATGCAGCCTTCTACAGGTTAATGCACCATTAACTGAGACGACCTGGGGACGTGATTGAGTTGGTTTTGTTTTAAAAACTAAAATGGCGGCCACTTCACTCGTTTCAAGAGTAAGAACTACAGCTGGAACTAGACGAAATACTGGCTATAAACAGCAAAAACAGCAAGAAGAGAAGTCAGACGGCAACATCTGCTATTTGGAGAATATTAAATTGCGGCGCTGGACAGACCAAAACATAATCTATGGAAGATGAACTTAACACCGATGCAGGTAAGCTTGTTTTAGTAATCCTTTTAAACTAGGTATTATCTTGAATGAGTAGTAAACCAATTATCGAATTCAGCTTTCGTGGTGTTATCCCCATCGGCCTTTGGCCTCGACAGATAACACTCTCCTCAATCTCCATAATTCTTCATAAGATACTCAGCCTCGTTCATTAATGGGTAATTATCAAACGGATGTGCAGGAGGTTTTAGAAGGTACGCTGCATCATGTATAGAAGATAATATTAAATTGTTGATAAATTATCAGCCATAGGAATTCATTGACAGGAATTGTATATTTTTCCACACAGATACTTAACTGCTAAGGCAATTCCTTAGTTGCGTGTCATATACGAAACTGAAATGTTTAGCATCTCAGAGTAGCTCCGTCTTGAATCATTCCCAGAAAGCATTTTACATAATAACTAGTTTATGGCTTCCAGTGCCAGGAAAAAGTACATGACTTTGAAACATTTAAAACATTTACGGGATGGGTTCCCATAAATTTTCATGGAACCCAAAAATTTGTTACTTATGGCTTTCCATGGGAATTGAAATCCCAGGGCTTGAATGTTATTGTAAAAAAGTTTCCATCTAACTACATCTGTTGCTGTCAAGTTGTTTCTTTGCCTAATTATGAGTACTTTGACACTATTTATTTCAAACATCCCTTTTTAGATCAAGCTGCAGTTCTGGTTACAGTGGCTAAAACTTGTTTTTACCGTCAGTTTCATCATCGAATTACGACCTGAGTGTAATCAAGAAAAAAAAATTGGAACAAAATCCATTTCCAGAGCACATAGACATTTATTTTTTTTGAAAGCATCAAGTTATATTGTTTTTACTTGTAATAATGATTTCACCTTATTTTTAGGATCAATATAACACCTGATGGAAAGTGATGCTTATCATTATTAATATTGGTAGCATCTCAAGCAGTATGTTGTCACGCATAGTATATGAGAGTCAGCTACATTCTCAAAGGTCAGAATAAAAAGTTCACTTACATATTGATAACTGTGACTTATAATTGCATTAACAAGTAAATTAAGTAGATGTACTTGGATGCTGAACATACTCTTAGCCTTTTGTAGAGGCCCATAAGCATTGAGAAAGGCTTGATATTCCTCAGGGAATAGGTCTTGTGCATCTGTTTCCGTTGTAATGTTCTTTGCTGGGCTCTGAAGGCGAAAATTATAGGCAGATGGCAAATTTTTGAGGCGGTCCTCCCTCTCCTCCTCAGTTCGCAGGCCTTGAAAATGATGCGGAAAATTGTTAGTTATGCCCATATAAGGTTCATGTTGGGAATATTTTTTTAAGACTACATAACTTGCATAAGTATTGATAATTGTTTTGTGTGTTTACATAGTCATAGATGATCTCTCCAGATGAAGTGCAAAGAATTCGAGTCAGTTTTGCAAAACCAAGATGAGACATCTCGACATCATAGTGAGTATTTGCATGTTGTTCTTTCTGTAATGTGCGCTCTGCTTTAAATTAAGAATGATGTTGATATATATATATATTTTTTTTTACAGCAAATAACATGCTTTAAAAAGAACGGGAAGGGAGCCTTGTCCTCTGAACTGCAGTATGCCAAATATATAGGAATTCTTAGGATAAGGTGTTTTTTATCGACCAAAGAGCAGCAGTAAAATAGGAGGGATCACAGGGTTCGGTTACTCATCCCTGTCTCTACAGAAGGATTCCAGTGAAGCTGCTGAATAAATTAAGTGTTATCATCAATACCCCAATATTCCTCACCTGGAATAAGCAATCCAGCCGAATCGCTGTAATCTTCAAGCACTTTCTTTATGTACAAATGTACAACAGAGGACTTCTGGGACCACCCCCCAAGCCGTTTAAGGTGGTCCACATGGTGATCCTCGAACCGGCCACCATTTTCTATTGCCGTGGCAATAATAAACCTGGTAGCAAATCCCTAAAAATAACCAGAGTTCATTATCAATAATTGCCCTCAACAGCTTGGATGACCGGACCGGCCTTTCACATGAACAACTCTAAATTACATCATTAATCCTCACCGATCTGTAAGACCTGTGTGAGAGGTCTTCTGCATTAAATCCTGCAGCTTGGATAGAAGTCTTCACTAGACGGCCAAGTTGGCTGTTATTCAGTGGCTTTGTCTGCAAGTGAATACTTTAATTCAGTACGTTTGCAGTGTTCTCCCTGAATTATAGCTAGGCAGATTAAGGGTTATTTATGGCTGCCAAGAGAAAAAATATGCTACAGAGGTGGACTTTCCTGGGGGGAGGGGGACAACGGAGTGAGGGACATGGCCACGTGTAGCGACACTTTAAATCTTCGATTCAAGAGACTTTGCAGTAAGGAAGTAAAATTAAGGAAAAACATACGTTTAGTCGGGTACAATAGATTTTTTGTCAACTAAGGTATTTAAATGAGACTCTTCAATGCACTATTTCCAAAATGCATGGCCCATAAAAAGAAAGCTGTGTATACTTTAGTACACGTCGATAAATTCATTCATTTCCTTGATCGGATGGGATCATGCACAACTCGTGTATTTTTTAAAACAATTCATTTTATTTTAGTAAACCTTCAAGCGGTTTCAGGCGGTAAGAAGTGTTCAGTGTTCCAGACAGTAAATTTTACCGGTTACCAAGAAGAGAACACTGCTTTTGTATGCTATAGGATTATATTATTGGAACTGGGCTGTAATTTAAAAATTAACACAATCCCATAAGCTCTATTGTTGAGAAATGTGCAATTCGTCATATGTGTATTTCCAAATAGTAAAAAAGAAGAAAAAAAGGTACATAAACAGTATAGTTGCATGACTTTCTCAAAACTTTCTCAAAAAAAGAAGTATTCATGGTGAAGTTGCCCTTAAAAGCAGAACCTTTCCCCTAACAGGTATTACAGAACTGTACATGTCACTAACCGTTAACGTTTTAGTGGAGCAGTCGGCCTCACAAAACAGTGGCCACTGCTTAGCCTCCTCTTTAAAAGTGAACTCTTTTTTCCTCCAGGCATCCACTGGGTTGATGTTAAAGACACCCCTCCTTGCCAGAAGCAAGAACCCAAGTTTTACAGGACAGTAAGGATTGTCTTCATGTAATGGGGTGAAAGTAAATTCTCGCCTGTGGGATTTTGCAAAAATAGGTAAGGGAAGCATTTTATATTTCCATTAAATCAACATTAATTTTATGTAGTCTCTTACTGATGCTGTTCTTTTCAAGGTAAGCTGAAACCCATAATAAGTAAAGATTTAGGGACTTGTTGTTAGTGGGCCAGGTCTCATGTGCAGGTCACATTCCACACGTAAAGTGTAAAGGTCACTTTTCTAAAACACCTCACAAAGATTCCCCTTGATCTTGAAGAACCTTTTGTTAGGAGATTAGGACTTAAGGAGACACTAGGAGACACATGGCCCCTGGGGTTTGCTGAAGTAGACACAATATTGGTCCATTCTCAATCAGTCTTTAACATATGAAATTGAATAATTGATTTGATGACATAATCATGTTATGCCCCTGAGGCATTAAGCTGAGTTATACTTCCTCTGGATAGAAATTGTATTGGTCATGGTCAGTGCAGCCCACCCCCTCAAACTTTGCCATAGGAGTGTGCATATCCTAGGTACATACATATGTGCTCTATTGGCAGCATCATTTTTCTCATGGGACAGGAGAATCTTCATGACGACGCCAAATTGTTCATCTGGCCTGTCAAAAAATGGGTTAATGTAAACAAAATTAATATAGAATCCTGAGTTTTCCATGTTTCAACATAGACACAAATTGTTATAAAATTTCCTTAACTTTTTTGGATGTGAAAATTGTCAAAAGGTTTGGTGGATTTTGCCTTTGGTGTAATAAATGAGTGGTAAATCCTGCTCATCAAAATGTTTTAGGGGCAAACTGAAATGTCTTTAGGGCAAATACATGCTATCTACAGTTTTCCTACATGGCAAGCTGTGAAAGTGACTTTCTTTTCATCCTGTTAAGTAATTTGAGTGGAAATGGCCTTAAAAAGCAGTGTAAATTATAAATATGAATTGAAAGCTACTCTGCATCAGAAATATCATGATGAAATAGTTGTAGATAGTAACCCTTCATGAATAAATTCGCAATAATCAAATCCATGTTACCTGAAATGCACATTCCCAACTTTGATCCCTTCAGGATCCGGGTAGTCACCCAGCGCCAGGTTGTCTCGCGCAGTGGCAATTTCTTTTGCCACAAGTGGCACAACAATAGAGCTTGCCCTTGCTCCGCAAAATGCGGACATGCTATGTAAGAAAGAAACTATAAAAGAGGCACATATAAGCTTCAGCTCTTTTGACCACATAACAAGAAAAGTGGTGAGATGTGATTTGGTGATTATTATTTTGTATTATTTGGTATGGTCTCTTCTCCTTTTCTTGCAGTTGCATCTCATTGTGTTAAATTTTATGTTTTCTCTCAGGTTACTCAATTCACCACCTAAAGACCTCACAATGAAGGTGGGAAAAAATAGTAAATAAGTTCCTTCAATAAGTCAGCAGCCTCGTTTTAGTGCACAGTGTGTTCTTACGGTGTCTAAATTTATTCTGTGACCTTTGAAATGGAACCTATGCGACTATTAATATGAAGGAATCCATAACTCAAGATTTGACCAGGATATCAACACTATTTCATGTACCGAGCATTTCAGTATAGTTATAGTTAGTTGTCTACTCACGTTGGAGATCACTCTGCGTCTTTATGCCAACGCAATCCAAAATATGTTCCATGTCCTGTTGGAACATGGGAACTTTTGGAAGGATGGCTTGATCTCCAACTTCCTTCCTTACAAATTTAACAAGGGTTGCTCCTAGCTCTGGGAACATTTTTGCAGGGCTGGGTTGGTTATTTGAGGTTTGCTGCAACAAAAAAAAGAGTGTCCTGTCATGTCCCTTTATGTACTTGTAATTTTTGTACCATGCCAACCCATTACTTTTTTATCACTAATATCTGTTTGTTCCTTAATGCAGTCCGTCTGTCCACCTCTCAGTCCTTGGAAAAGAGGCCTACTGGACTTTTTCCAAAATGAATGGAGGCAAGACCATTTGTCGTAAAGAGAGGATTACAAATGTCCCCCAAGTTTGCAGTTGCGTCTACTACAATGTATTTTTTACACTTCTTGTTGATTGATAAGAATTATTAATACCACTACTTTTATTATTGAGATGAACACTTACCCACATGCAAAGTCCTCGGTAGATGTTGTTTATTATCCTTGAGAAGGTGAACCCAGCTCTGCAGAGGCACACAGAGAATGCTTTTATGTCAATTTCCTTTAAAGGGAACTGTACCTCTGTCCCCGGATGTTGGAGGGGAAACCACTGTAAAAACAGCCTCCGTGCATCTATAATGCTTTTGAGCTGAAAATGAAAGAGAGAAATACCGATGTTAAACGGCATATTGTCAATTAAAAAATTAGTGAGAACACTCAATTGGTTTTTCATTTGAGTCCCGTTTGAAGAAAATTGCGGGTATAGAGTATGTGCCCATATTAATGATCATTTTTCAGTATTTCCAAAGATGAAGGGGTTAGATTATCAAAAAAATTGTTTGAAGGTCGCAGGGGGTATGAATTTTTCACATTTAGGACTTTTGAAAAGTGTATTCAAGGACTTACCGTCCCTGGGGCCAACGACTCGAGATACATCTTCTCTGCCCGCTGGTAATCGTTGGCGCCAGATGTAGAACTGAGGTGGGCGGCAAAGTTCGCCGAAAGGTTGCCCTCTGCAATGTTTAGCGTGTTGAAGATATCACCTGCTGGTGCCACTTCTGTTGGAAAATGAACATGCTCAGACTTGCCCGTTTAAAATGCGGAAGTACATAAATTATATGAGGTGATAAAAAAATTAACGGTAAAATAATGGGATATTCTAACAGAAATAAAAATTAAATAAGACTACTAATTACGACTCATTTTTGCCGTACCTCTTCGACCTTCGGCCATGGCTGCGTAACTAGGAGGACAGGTCGTCCGTGTCTCCTGAGTGCCTTTAAGTAGCAAATTTTTAGCGTCCAGCGCATTATTTTCCCGCCATTTTCTGGCGTGCAGGTGGACTTGTTTCGCGCCCTTTTTTGCTAAAGCGCGGGAAAAAAGAGGCCGACCTCGGTCCGGATATGTTTATTTTGTATTTCACGGATGTAGTGTTTTCGTCTTCTTTTCATAAAGAAATCCTTTTGTTCACCAGTCAGAGCGAGATCTACACTTTTTTAACCCTTTGTTTTATGAAGAAGAAAAATACGAAAAGGAAAATAGAAACGACCACGACGGGAGTCGAACCCGCAAATCTTCCGATCCGAAGTCGGACGCCTTATCCATTAGGCCACGCGGCCGCCGTGGTTGTATGAGGTAAAGTTTAAAGTATAAATAAAAAGCTAGATAAGTCCCAGGCTCTTTTGGAGGGTTGGCTGTTTTTCAAATCTACAAATAGCCTTGCTTTACTTTCTTCTTGCCAGCTTATGATAATAATTCTATACTATTATTTTCTTCCGATCCGAAGTCGGACGCCTTATCCATTAGGCCACGCAGCCACTACGTTAAGAAATTGGCAGTTTTAAAATATATGAATAAATGTTTTGGCGGTCCCAGGTTCTTCCGGTATTTTCTTAGAATACGTCAAGTAATAGTAGTATGGTGTCTTATTCAATGTTGAGAGTGTTTTGATTTTTTTATGTCTTTTGTGTAACCGTAGATCAAAGTCTCCTCTTTGTTTTCATTTCATTTTTCATTTTTATCTTTCAGTAGTGCAATCATAATGAACTTTTCCGTGGGTTTCTGGTTTCCCTTAATACAAAGGATACAGAATGATTCCGCTACATGACGAGCCGTTTGTTTCATGGAAATCAACATGGATTTTACGGTTCGCAAGAAGCTAAGAAAGTGCAGACGAGGTGTTCTTAAGTTAGAGAATCGCCAGATTCAGACTCCTGGCTGTTCATTGTACACAAGAGGAGGAGCAGTTCCCCATCTCACTCGGGATCTATTGCATACAGTTGCAGATTTACCAGCAATTGTTCATCTGACTCTTGAATCCACGTGAGTTTGTTCTGTTCATATTAAACCGTTATGGCCGAGGCCAAGATCGCTGAATTACAGTAAACGATTATTAATTGTAAGAGCACAATAAGCGTATTTAAAATCCTTACTAAAGTATCTTAGGAGTACACCGTGTTAGGTCAGATAGGTCTAACGCTTGCGGTTTTACTTGTAGTGAAATTTTATTAAGCTGTGCACGAAAGCTTATTATTAGCTCATAAGTTTACTATATCAAAATTCTCAAATCTGATTGGCTATCAGCTGTCCTGATTTCAGTATTAATAGGACAGTGGGTAAGATTTCTGTATAACCCAATAAATTTATTATGCCTGCAGCAATTTCCCCCTTATCTACAAATACAGTGAAACCTAGTGTATTAAGCGGACACCCTCGGGGAAAGCTGCAGTGTCCGATTAATACAGGGTGTCTGCCTAAAAAAGGTTTCAATAGATAACGACATATGAGGTATCAAATGCCATTCAAATAAACAGTGGAAACGTTTAGTATACTCGCAGAGACTATGACGATATACCTTTACATGAATTTCTTTACAACTCAAATTTGAAGAAATCAGACGAGTGAAAAAAGCTCTATACAAACAAAACGAAATAGAAAACAATACTGTACTGGGAAACTAATCAAATTAAGTTCTTCAAGTCATGTTTTTTAATGTAAAAATCGAAAAATTTGTGGGTGACAATTCGAGACAATCTTTAGCATTTCCGGTGTCTGGCATGTTGGGTGGTGGAATTTAATTACAAGTGTCCGCTTAATACAGGTTGGCAACAACAGAAATGATCACTTTAGGTACTTTTTAGGTGTCCGCGTCCGCTTAATAAAGGTTTCATTTAAAGTAAATAAGGGAAATAGATTTGGGGACTTCGGCTACTGTCCGCTTAATAGAGGGTGTCCGCTTAATACGGTGTCCGCTTAATACAGGTTTCACTGTAGTTACCCCCGCAGGGATTTCTAGGAAATCCCGAGGATGCACTCTAGTAACTTGCGCATATACTAAGGACAGTACTTACAGTTGAAATATACAGTCAGTATGCTAGAAAAAATCTTGATTTGCTTGAACAGGGGCTGCGAGGAATCGGTAGGTAATGATGACGTTTCTATTGTTTGCACCCGCAAGAACGAAATGGTTAGGGTGACATAAAGACAGAAAATCCCGAAGGGACCGCTTAGGTAGATTTTGTGACATTTATTGTGCAGTCATACTGCGATACTCTTTTGCGTTACGTTACTTTCCGGCAAATAAAATGAACTGCATGTAAAAAGTGAAAGAGAAATAGCGAAAAATTCAACTTCTTCGTATGGTTTAAAATAAACTATTCTCGAAACTGAGAATGTTTTGATCAAAGCTGTGTAAATCGAACTGAAATTGTGCATGGAACCTAGGGTTTCCTGTATTTAGCTCACCTATTGTACATGTGTATGGAATATGTGTGAAAATCTTGATTATAAATTGGTATATTTCAAAGAGCTACACAACGAGCAAGCAGAACACTATTGACCGACAATAAACAGAGCGGGGGCAAATGTAGTGTCAACTATTACTAGTTTACTACATCATCGAGTCGAAATGAGTATGCATAATAAATGTATGGGGTTATTAGGAAATCTGAAACTTGTGTCTTGGTATAAGAGAACTTAATGTCATCCAGTTTGGTCAGTAATCATACTTGTGATTAAACAAATCAGACTCCCGCTGTGCAGTCGTCCAATTTTGTTAATAACTCGTATTCATGATTTCAAACTGGTCAGTGTAAAACGCAGACTGCGGCCTGTTGTTTTTCCCATGGAAATAGGGACCTTAAGCATTGACAACGAAATGCACGACGATGATGCTTCGCAACCAAGGCAGACTGGGCCAAGGGTTTCATTTTCAGTGGCGAAAACGAAGTTTAAGCAGTGCAGTTTCCCAGACAGACGGCGACTTTTTTTTTGCAAAGAAGTTTGTCTTGTTACAGTCTTGTTATGGCATTCAAAGACCTCCGTAATTTACATCTTATAAGCTATGACAATGTTTAATCAATGGTGGCAAATTGATTGCTCTTTATGACCTGTAATTTGATTGTGGAGGCTTTCTCTTTGTCGCGCAGCTTTTGTTTTTGTTTTGAAGTTAAAAGTGAATACTGAAACAAACCGAACCTGAAAAAAAAATTCGAGTTAGCAAGCGAAGAAATCAACAAAATGCTTAACATATGGATTCTACATGTACTGAATGACAAGGTGGAAAAAGAGTGATTTACACACAAAAAGCATATTTT